AGTCCAATAAATACCATGGTTCTCTGTCTCTCTCTCTCTGTTTTTCTTTTCTTTTATTTTGCTTTTTAAGCCAAGGTGTACATAGGCGGGATTTAGGTGCCTAGGTGGGTGCCTAGGTACATGCCTGCCTAGGCCCCTTTGCTTTAGAAGGCTGCTTGGACCGCCTAGGTGGCCAGGCGGCCGAATTTTTCATCACTGATCTTCTCTTTCATTTCAATGATTTGTCCAACAATTTATTGATTTTTGTTTGTTTACCCCATTTTTGATATTTATATTTTGTAAGTTGTGCATCCAATATTTTTGACTACTTTCAAGTTAGCTCTAATAATATCTATTTATCCATGTATATGTCCCCTAATATTTGGTTATTTTTGGTATGCCGTGCAGGAACACTGTCCTATTGAATTTTTGTTTGGTGTTTCAGTCATTATAACAATAGTTTGCTACATGGATAAGCCCTTATTAGGTATGTTATGACTTGAATGAGAAATCCCTGCGCACTCTTCCTAGTAATGGTCTCATTCTAGTACTGCATTGAAGTCAGAAACCATAGATATCTGTGTAAACCAGTTTTATCAGATTCACTATGCTTTGGCTGAGGTTTTGGCCTGTAAATTCCTATTAACAAGGAAACAAATCTCTAGAGTGTGTTTACTTTTTAAAATGAAACGAATAACTAGGACTGAAGGATCTCTCAATGCGCTTGTAAGTTCTTCATGAACACTGATAATGGCATGTCAATCGAGAAGATAAAGGAAATTTCTTCATTGTTAACTTACCTGAAGACAAAAAGTACAACATAAATTGCTCTTGAAATTTAAAATTTGTGGAGGATTGAACATACTTGTATAGCACAAATACATAGTTTGTCGCACAATTAAATTTCTTTAACTATGATTTTCTTTGTAAATGGCATTATCAATACCAAATAAACATTATCCCAGAAAAGCTCGATTAGAAATACTATACTATTTTATTTGGCTTCTTCAACGCTTACTGGCCAAAAAAAACTGCTTTTTTATCGATATATTTGTGAATTTTTATTTTTTAAATTATTTCTAAAAAGATTACTTGATTTACCCTGAATAGGCAGAAGAGCCGAATCACTTCTCTTCCCTTGCCAAATTAACTCCGAGTCAAATCTCTGCAAGATCATAATCTGATGAACTGATGTCGTCATCTAATGCCACAAGTTGACTCTGTTTGAAGTCGCTGCTGTTATTCTTGGTACTTGCACGTATTAGACCAGATTCATATGTGCCACTTGTGATCTGAGTAGATGAAATTGATTGGGGGCTTTTATTCTATTCTGCTGTATGAGTTCTGATATTTCCCAATTCAGCAGCACCCTACGTGTTTTTCCCGCATATTCACAACTAGGTGGATCTAGTTCACCCTGTTCAAAATTTACCTCCTCCTAAGTTTGATACAATTGTTATTTTTTTAGAAAGTACTATTGACATCATTGGATACGAATGTATGAGCCCTTTTTGATGAGTATTTTCAGCTATTCTTTAGTTTTGCAATATGTTTTCAATGAGGCACAGGTTCAAGGTCACTGCACAAGGGAAAACATTTGTCTTGCTTCTAATTGTATGATAGGTAAAAGATCAAATGATGTGGAAGGTGATTGGAAAAGGATTAAGGAAGCTCAGAGCTTCTCCATTGGTTTATGTTCTTGCTGTTTTATACTTGTTAATTTTATTGTTTGGGTCTTCAGCTACCCATTCCTATTTATATTATGTTTTTGCTCCTGATGAATCCACTTTATACACTCGGTAAATTTCTTTAAGGATGAATTTGAAATGTTTAATATCTTTAAAATGATATCATAATATGGTGAAAAGTCATTGTGGAAACATATTAACGGCTCTACATCTATCAAAACAAGTCTCGGCCCCCAAGATAAATAACCAAGCTGAGTACAATAGAAAACATATACCTAGTACATTAAGTTCGTACCCTAGTTTTCCTATTTTGTTCGACTGTTATCCATATCGAATGATCTCGGTGGTAAATGTGGTTACTAATGATTCCCCAGTACTCAAAGGTATATCCTGTTTTTGAGATTTTACTAATTCTCGTGATCAAAATTTGCTCCAGGAGCCAGCATTCGAAGAATTAATTTTACTTTATACTGACCAAATGGATCATACATGTGGTGAAGGTTGCGATGAGCTTCCTTCTTTGGAACTTAAGATATACGAGAGGATTCCCCTTCCTGATCTGCCAGTACGTTGAAGCATGTCATAAGAAGAATCACATTTGATTTCTTGATCCCTTAGATTCTTAAAATGCTTATACATGTATATCACGAAGTAACTGACTAATGTATTGCAGGTTATCTTTCCTCACAAAAGACTTTCATTTCGGATACTAGATACGGTATGTTTATTGCTCTAGCTAGTGATCTTGTCACATTTCACATGAATTAATCTGTTTCTTTTTTATAATTATGTTCATGAAACTCTTGAAAAGTTGATATCATGATCCATGTGAATATTATTGATTGCGCTTTTATGTATGTATCATCATTTATAGAGTTCTATTTATGAATGACAATGATTAACTTTCTTAAGTGTTGGAGATTTTCATTGTTTTTCTCTGATGGCTTCTGCTAAATGCAATGACAAAGAACCGAACAATTGTTTGCTGTTAATTCAGTAACATGCTAATGGAATTAAAGGCTGTCAACTGTCTCAATTCGAACTGATCTAAAATCAGAATCTACCCAATGTTTTGCTTGTTGTTAGCTTTTGAAGACCTAACCTTTCTTTAGCAATTTTGACTTTGTTAGCATTCTAACAAAGCTTTTGCTGAATGCATGCTGTTGTTGTATCCATTTCGTTTTCCTTTTTTTTTTTATTGATAAGTCACCATTTTTATTTCGTTTTGTAATTGTGTGTGTGTTTAAAAATGGTAAGGCTAGCCTGTAGCAATTATTCAGGAAAATAACTCCCATAATCAAAACTGCATTTTATCTTTGCATAACTACTCTGGCCAACGAGTCAGCCATTGACTTCAATTCTTGCAATATATGAGCAAAACCCATGTCTGTATTTACCTCAATAATAAAATCTCCTGGATTATGGCGGACAACTCTCTATGGATAGGTTGCTCCCTTGGTGGCCCATGCTTTCATAATCTTGGAGTCCCTTTTTCCTACCGCTGACTTCCATTGCAGCGCTTGGAGGTGAAGATCAGTCAGCAGTGATCATGTTTCAGCGTCATTTGAATCACCTACCCCAACAGGTCCCCAGTTGTTGAATTTATGTCACATTAGTCGGTGCAAAAAACACCACTTTAACTAGCCTGTCCCAGCTAGTTCCTTCGAAGTTGAGTTGAAACTTCTTCTGGAGGTTGCCAGTTCTATCATTGAAGGCATCTTGGAGCTGAGCTTACTGTTTCATGCCACTGGTTGTGTAGATCAGAGACTGAGAAGCCTTAGAGCCTGCTTTTTTTTGTGTTGGGGGGGGGGTGTGGTTGGCGCAAAGTAGCTTTTTGTATTAAATAAAGTGTAAAAAAGTATGCAAATTACAAATGCTAATTGGTGTGCACTTTACATAACCATGGTACATGGGTCATTTGCACAAAAATTCCCAAAAGGAAACAAGCTTTCTTCTGAGGTGGGTTTAGGAAGCACCATCTTTGGCAAGAGAGTCAACATCCAAGTTTGATTCATGCCATATATGTCTAAAGGATTTTCCTTCTAGGATTGAAACTTTGATCAAAGATGGTTGCAGCCTCCAAGAATAGGAAGTAATTCTATTAGCCATGTTTTAACGTTCACTTAATTCCCTTCAACGAGCAAAGGGGTGCCCTGGCTAGCTTCAAATAGTTTAGCTCGCTGAGCAAAGCCATATCCTAGGCCAGTGTGTAGTTTATATGTCCTATTTCATAGTTACCATGGGCGGGAGAAAGAAAAGCTTTGGGATCGGGAGCGGAAGCGCATAGCAAGGAAGCCGCAAAGTTCCGTGGTTGAGGAAATGACTTCCATAGATATAGGGATCAAGATCCCTGACTTTTAGGGATCAAGTTCCATAACTGCAAAGGAGTGGATCCCTAATGCAATGGGATCGCATTTCATTGTGTTAGGATCAAGGTTCCCGTAGTCTAATTATCCACTGCATTGTAATCTAAGAGCGAGTTCTGTTTAATAGTATTTTTAACTTTTCCAAATTCACAAACCCAAGTATCAATGTATATAAGAATCATGTCATTGAAAATTTCTTGGACTTTTTGTTATCAATGGAATAGTGATACTAAAAACTTAAATGATGATGTAATACCTAATAAGTCCTTTGGCACGAATGGAGCTTTGTGTCGTCTGCGATCTCTCTCTTTCTCTCTCCTCTTAGTTTTATTCAACTGGTGAAGAAATGCATTCATTGGGGACTTATATGGGCTCTTATTCTCTTCAAATTCCTTGGGGAACATTGTGGTCTTTCTCCCTCTCAACATTGTCAATAATGAACTCTCTTAACTCCCCTATTGTTGTAGACATCCCATTTTAAATCTGACAAATTCTATAGTTTCTTGAACCCTTAGAACCACACTTATCATAGTAAACCTAAATCCATAGCCCACACAGCCTACCCTGTGATCAAGAACCATTCTGCTTACCCAGAACCTTGCAGATACCTTGTTTTGACCCAGAATCTTGCAAACGCCCTGTTTTACCAAAACAATTATTAAAAATATTAGAAAAATCCTTTTTGATCCAAATTTTATCTGAGAGCTTCACAAGAGGCTGAGGAACACACCGAAAGTGAAAATTTTCAATTTGGACCAATACTGGTTTGGGCGACACTAGGAGTGTCGCCCAGCCTAAACTGGGTGACACGAGTGGTGCCGCTCAGACTTGGGCGACACCATTTGTGTCGCCCAGCCCTGTTCAGCCCCAAATTAGAAAATTCCATGTACGTTGATTTTCTTGATTGTTTGTGTTATTTTTACCATGTTTGTTTGAGCGACTCTAGGAGTGTCGCTCAAATCCGGATCCCCAAAAATGGTATCTTTGGTTGAAGGTTCTTTTGGTTATGGAAAGATGCCCTTCCCAACAGATCCTTGGCCCTTTTAAAACCTCATTTTCGTGGCCATAGAGGGGAGACCAGACTTCCTTAGAGAAAGTCAAGCCTGAAATCCAAACCCTATGCCTGAGAAATCTTAACCTAGACCTAGGGAACCCTAATTCTAAACCATCCTTAGGGCACAACAACCCTTTGAAACCAGAGATCTGTGGGTCAACATCCGAATCAGAGAGGCAAAGAGGACGTCGGTTCTAATACAGGCAAGCCCTCGAAGGCTTGGGATCCCGGGCCATCTGGCCCGATCGGGTATATTTCTTTACTCTTTCTTACTTCTCTTCTGGTTTAATTTATCTTAATTGGTATTTTAGTATTTCAATGCTTTTTAAATTCATGTTTCATATTCTCGGATCAATGCTGAATCTGCCATGGATCTGAGAATGGATCTGCCCGTTTTTGGGCAGATCTAGCTTCATATATGAATTCGATTTGTTCCACTTTCTCTACCACACGTTATTTTTATCAGTTTAAGGTGTCAGATCAGAGGGATCTTCTTCTGAAGATCACTCCGATTTGCTCTGCAAACAATTGTAGGTGCATTGAAACCAGTCAAGAACAGACTATCTCAACTCCCCTATTGTGGACTTTCTCTCTCCTTGCCCTCTCTTGTTGCCTTTCTTTGAAATTAGACACAAGTCACAATTCACAAGGTGTGTAAAGTATTGAACTGTTCGATATATAAGAAATCAATAATTAGAAAGTTTTGTAGGTCATAAAAAAATGGAGATCTACACTTCATTGTATATGAACAAAAAAGTGTGTCGTTAAAACTAGCACCCAAAGTATATGACACTTGATTTTATGTTGGTGGAATTGCGGTTCCACTTTCTCTTGAAACGATGATTTTTGGTATAGGGATCTGCGTCCCATTAATATATGGAGTGTGTCGTTAAAACTAGCACCCAAAGTATATAATACTTGATTCTATGTTGGTGGAATTGCGGTTCCACTTTCTCTTGAAACGATGATTTTTGGTATAGGGATCTGGGTCCCATTAATATATGGATCAAGATCTTTGATTTTTCTAGATTAAGATCCTTAATATCAAGGAAACACCCGGAATTGAGATCTTGTGGTTCCGCTTACTCATGAAACAACGATTTATGGTATAGGGATTTGGGCCTTATTAAAATATGGATCGAGATCTATGATTTTTCTAGATCGAGATCCTTAATATTCAGGAATCACCGGGAATCGAGATCCCATGTTTTGGAGCACCAAAAGAAGATCCCGGAGCGGAAGCGACCCCTCCGTAGAAGATCGTGGTAACTATTGTCTTGTTAGGCATGAAAAAGCATGGATCGTTTGGACTGAGCAATTTCAGAATATGCCACCATACCAGCCAAACCAGGGTTCCCAAGAAAGGAGCCATCAAATCTTAGTTTCACAGAACTTGTAACAGGTGGGGTCCAAAGAGAGGATTTGGAAGTAGTCATTGGTTTGGATCGAAGAAGGTGTTTCCAGTTCTATCAAACTCAGCCACCAAAGAAAAACAATATTCTTGGCTATAACGAGCCAAAATGATAATGGTCGCTTTCAGTTTATCGATGGTTGCCTTGGTATGGGATGCTTCCCTTTTGAAAGCTTTTTTAGTTTCATTCCAACCAAATAGTCCAATTGCTTCCAACCACATGGTCCAATTAGTCACCAAAAAAGTAGCTCGCCATAGCACCAGGCTTGAGGATGTGAAAGAAAAGAGGGGGGCAGGTGGGGGAGCCACCAAACAAAGTAGCAAAATTCTTGGCTATAACGAGTCCAAAAAATAATGGTTTGTTTTAATCTGTCGATTGTTGTATTAGTGTGGGACGCTTTACTTTAGAAAGCTTTGCTGTTTCATTCCAACCAAATAGTGCAATTGCTTCCAACCAAATAGTCCAAGTACTTGCCAGAAACGTAGCCCGCCATAAAACTAGGCCTAAGGAGGTAAGAGGGGTTGGGGGGGGGGGGAGAAAAACACGATAGAGCTGTTGGACTAATAGGGGTGTAATACGAAAATAGCCAAACAAGTTTAGGATAAAGGTCTAAATCCATGTGGCTACCTTACAATGAATAAAGCGATGGCCAATTGTTTACAAAAAGACTAAACATTTCGATTGGCGAGACCCACCCTGGTCTCTAAAAAAAGAAACAAAAGGGCAAAAACATGGAAAGAATAATTAAAAATGTAAAAATTGGACATAATTCCTAAAAGAAGGAAAGAAAAGGGAAAAAACAAGTGCTATTAGGAAAATTACATTTATAATTGCATGCCAAAATAGTTAGTTTTTTATATATACTGCATAAAATACCAAATTTAAA